TCTCTCGGTTATATCGCAAGATAGTGATATTTAAATATTAAATACATAAATAAATACAACGTTTTTACTATAAAGCTTGATTTATATGATTATATTTTTACTTTGACACTTGTAGATTTAGAGATTAAGGTACTCGCCATCTAGTGGCGAAAACTTAAATTGGTATAGTTGTGTAAGTGGTAGAAAATTAGACTGCATTTTTGGAAACAGCTAAACTGTTATTTGTAGGTCATTTAAAGTGTGCTTGATATTTATAAGATTGGATTTGTAATATTGGCATCTGGAAAATTTCCAAAAATCCGCCATTTAAGAATAATGTGTATTAAAATATTTTAAAGGTCATTTGTTATACTCATTTTCTTGAACGAAAAATGTCATCTGTGTAATCGAACCATCTCATATGTTTCATCTAAAACACCAGTGGAACATAACGCCATATCGATAGAAGATAATTCATAGAAACAATAAATTTTATTCAGTTTTTCATTAGCAGGCTTTTTTCGCCTCCAACGAAGTGGAAAAAGCGGCCCTTGTTCGAGATAAAGCTCGCCGACGCGCGTACACACGCAGCAACGAGGAATCAAGGAGAAAGAGAAAGAGAGAGAGAGATTTACAGCACGAGACGTATCGATTGCCAAAGCGCATGTGAACCTGGCGTGAGAGACGCTGTACGTATTTTCTTGAGATTTATCCAGCATTGCAACCCGAGAGGAGCAATCAAGAGAAATTAAAGTTTCGGTAACGTGCGGCGCGCCGGGCAGAAGAAAAAAAGGCTGACCAGAGCACACGCGGCCGAGGCGATTAAGGCCTGTCGAGTGGAATTTGAGCTCTGACGGATCGCTCAATCGATTGTTGTTTGTTAATTAGAAAATTACTCAATTGCAGTCAGCTAATTTTCGACAAAGTTTTTCAGAGAACAGACGGTATTTAATTAATTTATTATAGTGACATTGTTTAAAATTTGTTTATGAAAATAAAACTTTATATAGCGTCGAATTCTGTTTCGTTGAAATAAGATTCACAAAATTCACAGCGTCGAAATAAACAGTCTGCGTGTACGCATTGCATGTAAGCCGCTCAGTGGCAAGACATATTTTAAGAAAATTCCGTCATTTTTCAATGACACTCGTCACTTTCGAGCTAAGAACACTCTCGCTATATTTTATTTAAAACATCGCGCGTTTATATTCGCAGAAAAAAGTCCAACGATGGATGAGCCTTTTCATTCGCGGCTTGGAGCATTTTACACAAGGGGTTCAAAAGACGCAGGTATATAAGCAGTCGTTTCGATGTACGTCGAGTGCGGCGCAAAGAAGAATTTCGTATTCGCGCTTCGTCCGCGCATATTCAAATCCATAAATTGATGCTACTTCTGCTTCTTTATAAGATTTTGGTATACAGCTTAAGCCTGCGCGCAATGGATTTATTAAATTTTCATCGGGAAACGGCCAGACTCGTGCCTTTTCTTCTCTTCCCTATCTCTCTCCCTCACTCTCTTTCCTTCTTATTCTCACTTATATTAAGATAATAAAAAGGCAAATGAGACGGAGAAGAGAAAAAATTTTAAGAAAAAGATAATATTCTTTTTTTGGGGGGATATTACAGTACATGGATAGTATTGAATACTCGAATTGTTTGTGTAAGTGAATCTAGAGAACTTGAAAAGTTATTAAATGTATTACTTTTATTTTCGATCATGTTTTATTGATTCTTGAGAAAAAAAATAGATAATTTTAGCATGTAAACTAATAAACACTTACGACTCTATTTCATTCATACATCTTACTCTAGCTAATTGACTAAGGAAAATAGAAATTAAATTTTATTCATCTCAAGTAGCTCCTCACAACCGCACCGTACAATACACCCGAAGGTTGTAATCCTGGGAAGTATTTTTGTTTACGATTCATAACTCGTAGCGATGACTTTGCAAGTGCAACTGACAGCGTGTACACGAATGACTGTATGTACGCCCCGTTCTCGAGGCGCGAGCGCACGAAGCTTCGAATATTCACCCTTCGCGGCGCACACGAGCAAAGCCGGGGAGCTTTCGCCGATATGAGCAATTCTCTAAATGAAACGCATTTTTGGAGGTAGAATCGCGGCAAATATTTTTTTCAACCTACGCGGATACGGACCCCCGGGAAATGTTTTTGGGGGTCCTAGGAACATGTAACCACGTAGGAACCATTGAAATTTCAATAGTGCTTATTTTCAGAGCTACTTTTGTGATTTAGAGGACGAAAAATCATGTTTTCTCGTAAATACGGCTAATTACTCAATTTCTAAGCCGCTGAAAAAGTATCAAAACTCATCTAAAAAAAATATCTGGCTACTGTGTTCGACAGGAAATTTTCTCAGCTTTCCAATGGTGGTATCAGATTTTCCGATCAGTCGCACATTTACCGAGAAAATGGCCATCAAACGGGCCAAGCTAAGTATCTCGAAAAACTAGGTACGGAAAAAGTGATCTTTGAGGTTTAATTTCGATTTTTCCTTGTGAAAATGAAATTTATCGAAAAATCTGACTACACCATGAAAAAGCTGAGAAAATTTCCTATCGAAAGCATATCTTCATTTATTTTTTCAGTGGAATTACAATGTTATACATGAAAATTTCTTTTACGTTGTTCGTTGTTTTCTGTTTCCGAGCTGATTCAGCGCGGTCGCGAGGTATTCGGCTCGCTACAATCAAAACTAGCTCGTGATTCCACTGAAAAAATAAATAAAGATATGCTTTCGATAGGAAATTTCCTCAGCTTTCTCATGGTGTAGTCAGATTTTTCGATAAATTTCATTTTCACGAGGAAAAATCGAAAATAAACCTCAAAGATCACTTTTTCCGTACCTAGTTTTTCGAGATATTTAGCTTGGCCCGTTTGATGGCCATTTTCTCGGTAAATGTGTGACTTATCGGAAAATCTGATACCACCATTGGAAAGCTGAGAAAATTTCCTGTCAAACACAGTAGCCAGATATTTTTTTTAGATGAGTTTTGATACTTTTTCAGCGGCTTAGAAATTGAGTAATTAGCCGTATTTACGAGAAAACATGATTTTTCGTCCTCTAAATCACAAAAGTAGCTATAAAAGTAAGCACTATTGAAATTTCAATGGTTCCTACGTGGTTACATGTTCTTAGGACCCCCAAAAACATTTCCCGAGGGTCCGTATCCGCGTAGGTTGAAAAAAATATTTGCCGCGATTCTACCTCCAAAAATGCGTTTCATTTAGAGAATTGCTCATATACATGGAGCGCACACACGCGGCCTCGAATGTGGCATACAGCTCGCAAAGGGTATGCGCGTATCTGCGGCGAGAATCCCACCCTGGATGAAATTAACATTGTTGAGATTCTCGTGTACTCTCCGTATGTATCCAGCGCGTTGGCTTAAAAGACAGAGAGAGAGAAAGAGAGATATAGCTGCTTTTCGACCAACTCGTTTTTACCCGCTCTCTCTTTAAAATACAGACGTACATGGGTATGCGCGCTTACGAGCCACGCGTGGATCTTCAAATATGTATTCTGCTTGAACAAATTGATGATTCCAATAACGATCGGATTATAACAAGCCTTCGATTTTCATTTATTTTTTGCGCGTCGACTAGATTCTCGGCCCATGTGTTGATTTATCTTCTTCGTCTTCTCAACTTCTTTTTTTTTTTTGCACAAGAGTACATACGCACGGATTATGGACCTATCGCGCGCGCAGGCCCAAGCGGGGTAGGGTGGGAAAAAAGCGAGACAGTCGAGCGAGAGAGAAATTCTTTATTCTTCCTAGGATTTATGTCGGGTGATTACTGCAGTGCTGAACATTTGAAGAGGGAAAATTTGTTAGCTTATATTGCGATTGTTGTGCTCTTCGGAGTACACGAGTACGATGTACGCGTAATATATAAAACTTCTCTTGCCGGCTTATTGTGCTCGGAGGAGAGCTAGAATAATGTATTACAAGCTCGATGCTATTACCGCGAAAGAATAATAATGACGCCCGATTAAATCCGATGAGCGAGCGCGGCTTCGTTAAAAAGCTCGGGTATCTTGTGCGAGCGAAACATCGAGCGATACCCGACCGCTCGGGTGGGAGGGAGGACGGGAAAATTTCGAAGACTCGCAGTTGGCAACGAGCGGCGCGACGAGGACGACGACGACGACGACGACGATGTAGGCAAAATCAAAAAGATGCAAATATTTGTCGAACGTGCTTTGACTCGCATGGTTAGCTTACAGCTAGCTCATACGTGCATGTATCTGTGCCACTGCGTGTACGAGCGACACGTCGAACGAAAGCTCGTTGACGCTGGACTTGCAAGCATTATTTTTTTTTGCGTATTACGCGCAATGAGCTGCATATATGAACGATATGAACGAATAGGCCAGAATTATATGTGCGTCGATGTAACGATATTTAAGAGCACTAGGTTGATCAACTCCTCGATTATATTGTGCTAAAGGGGCTTATACATTAACATCGTGGCGAGCCGAAATTGGACTGTCATGTGTTGAGAGCGAGGAGAGAGAGAGAGCAATGAATTCTCGTTAGTACTGTTCATGGGTACATGGCCAAACCGAATTAATATTGTAATAAGCGGATAGTTTATTTTGAATAGTTAATTGACCCGCGCATCGGAAAAGGTAATTCACAGTTATTGCGAGAGAATGATCCTCGATTAGACGGTGGCGGATTATGAAGTATGCCAACCACGCCATGGTGTAGAGCGGTAGTGGACAAAATATTTTTTATAGTATATAATATATTGTATAAGGACTTATTAAATCGATATTACAGGGAATTTTTGGGGTACTCAGTTACACAGAGCCACAAAATTTCTTGAAGAAATCGTCGCCAACTTATTAAGATTTTTAAACAAGGCCAACTATTATAAAGACAATGAATAAACAGATAAATTAGTATAACTCAATTGTAAACAATTTGATCATTAAATTGTGAATACATTTATGCGTTGAAATTAGTATGCACGGAAGAGAGTGACCCCTCATTTTGTTTAAAACAATATCATTCAGCTTTATTATTTTCTTTCGAACAGACATGGTATACACAAAGCTTAAGTACACATGGTTGGTAAAAATGTTCTATCGAACAGGAATGCTTATACTTTAAAATGGTTTTCAAAGCAAGTAGTGAATTTTCTTGCTAGTTGACATTCTGGCATGTCCCCGCTGCTTGATACTGAAATAAATCAAACGTATCAAAATTAGTTCCCAGTGTTTTATTTAATATTTTTGTGATCGAAAGGAATATATTCAAACCTTCATCGGCACAAGACGTTACAACTTCTTTAAGTTTATCACTATCCTTAATTTTATCTGCATATTTATCGATCAATTCAAAGATTTTTTCCTTTTGTATCTTGCCATTGGACAACTAAAAATAGAATGCAGTTTTTTATTTGGACTATGAATCAACACTATTGAAGTAGAATTATCATTAATAGCAGATTCGATCGGATTCAGTAGTTTTTGTCTGTTTGTAAATTGTTATGATTATAAACATAAGTTTTCTTAAGATGATTTAACGTACATCATTTTATTATTTATCAATAAATCAATGGAAACTTGTTGTGAAATAGAAAAATATGAAAACTTACTGTTCCCAAGTGTTTCATGGCACAAGCATTAACACAGCTTAATTTTTCATCATTTTTAGTTTCTAATGCTTCCTTCAATTGATCTATGTAAAAATGTTCAGTTATTATGTTGTTTATATACTAATAAACATTTTTGTTACCTGCGGAAATTCCCATTTCTTTTGCACACTTAATCATTTCGTCCATGAACATCGTATCTTCATATTCACAGTGAATGGTGTGCTGATAAAAGTTAGAAAAGTGAAAAAATTGACGTGATATTCATGTATTTTTTACTTCAAGCGCATAGAAAGAAGTAATTACTATTGTAGTAACAAATTGGATCAAAAAATTTGAACTTTGTAATGTTTAATTTTCGGTTGTCACTAAAAAAGTGATAGTATGAATAATATCTCCGAAACCGTATAATGCTCTTTTAAAAACTGTTTATAGAAAAATTGTTTTGAAAAAAGTTATTGTTTTAGAATAGTTGTCAAATTATTTTAAAGATCACGATTGATGTAAAAATAATTTTTTTTTTACCGTAAGCACAAGTAAACAAGTAAGAGTAAAGATGCACTTCATTTTAAAGATTTTATGGGTAAATTCAACAGCAGTAGCTCACAAAAGCACTAGTACGATGCAGAACTGTTTTCTGAATCATGTACTTACTATTTATAAGCATCAAGCCAAAAATTTTCCCGCCTTTGGCTTGTTCGAAGCAGTAACTACATCATAATTGCCACAGGATGTAACGCCTCGGCAATTTACGCGTTTTATCTGATTTTTTTACGTAACCATAAGTAACGCACAGTTGCCAATCAAATTTTATCTGCTAGTCCTATTTCATTTGATGAATAAAAAAATGGTTCAACACTCGAATTCATGAGATTTCCTTTTGATATGAATTATTTAATGTTTTTAATTGCAGACATGCTGGAAAATTAGCAGCTATTTTTGACTGTTAAAAGATAAACAGTTTCATTATTTCATACAAAGTCTGCGAGCTACTAATACGTTTGCGTTTTTTATTATTCAAGGCTAACGTTGACTTCGTAGTATGTATTCGACACTTATTTCTTCTAAATGCAATCGATTACTTTATCATTGTTATTTAACAAATGTATGAGTTGCAAAATATTCTCAAAGCACGAATTTTTTCTCTTCTCTATTATTTGAGAACGAAAACACAGTAGAAAAATGAAGATGAGCGTCGTAAAAAAATACGAGTCCGGATAATTAAAGGAACCTGAAAAAAAATACGAAATCATAAAAATGCAAATATATAACCGTGTCATTTCATGCATTCAAATCGTACCTTTTTATTTGTGAGTTCATGAGACTTTTATTGATAATGTTTTGCATTAATAAAATGAAAATGATCATTTATAATTTAAGCACGAATACACAAATAATTTCAAGATCAATTTTGAAAATGAGCTTGTACAACTTGAAATCCTAATATAAAGAATTCAATTATGTTTGTTTATCAACAGTTTAATTTTTTTTTAAATAAGTACGAAAATGTTATGTATAGGTCATAAATTGCTTTAGGAAGTTTGCCATCGAATACTAGCACTAGGGCAAGAGAAAAGAGGATGAGAAATTATTGTTAAATCCGGCTGAAAGTGACTTCAAGAATGATCAAAGATTTGGAATGGAAGTGTACACGGCTACAGTGTACAGGCTAGACGAAGGGTAGAAAAAAGTACTTGATTACACGAGGCAAAAGAAAGGGCGAAGAAGGATACGGGGATGCACAATTACTCCCTACGTGAGTAGATTTTGTTAAATATTTTTTATCAACATCCGTCTCTAGATCAGACACGTTCCTTTTTTATGTGGATATACTAGAAATTTAATTATTTTACCGAGTTTTGAGCGCCTACGCATGATTACTCAAATATATTGTTTTTTGAAGTGGAGATATTTTTCGTGTCATTGTCGTTGTCATTGATTCTATGTTTTTTCCCTTATTTTCTTAATGGAAATCGCTGCCAATTTATTGGTAAAGAGCTCCCTCTTAATTTTATTTATGAATGCCAATAAAAAAGTATGAATCCGTTAATTGAAAAAAATACTTGAAACCTGAACATTAAGCAAAATAGCTAAAATTTTTTCAAACTACTTTAATTTTGCTCTAGCAAAAAAACGTAACGTAAAGAAGTAGGGGCTCTGTCTTTGCTCCTTTGTGTACCATTATTATGATTGCCCTGTATCTTATACACCCCTTTTTGTACGTTATTTTTAAGTTTTCTCATTGGAGAAGAATTAAAATAAAATCGATATATTTACATTATGTACAACTGAAGGACAAAGATTTGACGATGTGAATTCCACAAATTATTTGCATTTTAATGTCTTTATGCGCATGCGTCCGGTGACTTGCCACGAGTAAATTGTCCATCATCATATGCTTTTTTAACGGCATCGGAAGCCGGTATACAGTTAACACTGATAACGACTTGTTGTTCTCTTGTAAGCAGCGAGACGAACAGCGAGTAGCTGTGCTCGAAGCTAGTTTTTCATTCATTATCACTCCTATTGATACATCCTTTACAAAATTCACATCTCTTGTGTATGATTCTTTTAGTTTCTTTGTAATTACAAAGACTTACTCTACTTCAGTTACTTTGTAAATCTAACGAAATATATAATAAACATATTTATTTTAATTTCAAAGTCATCATTTTTTGGGCTAGTTGCATGAATAAATAGTGAATAAGTTTTACGTGGATAAATAACAAACGGCTTATTACTATTATTTTGCTTCCTCATATAGAAGAAGCTATGTGTTAGGCTAGAAAATGAGATTCGGAACCAGACGCTGTAGGAAAATTTGGATTATACATAAGGAAACTACATTGAATTACCAAGAAATGTCTGTATGAGTGAGTGTGTGAGTATGTGTGTATGTATGTACGGAATTAATGTAACTTTTGAACGAAGGCACGTAGCGAGACGTGGTTCGGCTTATTTTGAAGGATTTGTGTGTCGCAAGAAGCGTAAAAACTTATACAAGAATTCACCGAGTAATTAAAAAATTATGCCATTTTATGGTTTTAAAAATTGGTTTTTTTTTAACAAAAAATTTTTTTCTATTTTTTCATGTATAAATGTAGAAATTTTTACAATTTTTTTGTTATCATCATGAAAGCAGAGCAGTCAAGCTTTAATTTAAGACCAAAAACATAGAGATTCGACGAATATTTTTTTTATGATGAAACTTTTTGCCAATGTATTGGCAGCGGTTTTCTCTTCAACAAATTCATGGATAAATGTAACGATCAGTATCGTTTATAGCACCTTTTAAATCACTGTATCAATCATTAAAATGAAGGATAACTTTTTGATGCATAAATACATTTAATGGATTGCTTCTTTTGTGTGGTTTTATTGAATTTATACTCTTATCTAATCTACTGTTCTCAAGCAGCTGCATATTGATTTTTATTTGAATTTTATTTGAATACTTTGCGAATTATTGTATGTTTTGATTACGTTTTTCTCTCCATACTCAAAGTGCTTATTGTAGTTTTACTTCAGTCATCGAAATGATCTTATAATTAAGATAGAAAATTTTGCAAGACGTGAAGTGGAAATTGTGAGGAACCCGCTGTATTGTGCCAGGTGAAACGCAAAACAAACTTGTAGCTTCTTTTATTGGTAATTGGAAACTAATAATGTAACTCGAAGTATAGAATAAGTTGCATCAAGTAGTACATTAATTTCCCATTTTACAGGTGATCTCTTAATGTATAAGTAATTGAGTATTCTTAAATTAGAAAATTTTATTGATTTATAAAGCGCCCAGTGATATTAACGTCATCATGTATGACATGCTGTAGTGAATGCATAGAAATGTATTAAACCTTCAGCGGATGTAGTTAATTAAAATGAAATTTTTAGGTTTATAGATACCTACGGTGCTAGCGGTCTCAAAGTTAAGAGGCATTATAGGCCCAATCGTCATACAACAAGGTTCAGCTACCCTGGTCATCATTAAAATCAATAATTTTCTAGTTCTTACTGGAAATATAGACAAATGTTACAGTGCGGCATTGTATTTAAATAACTTATTATATTCTTTAAACGTATAATACTTTCTGTGGTCCGGTAAGCTCATTTATTATAAATGATAGAAAGAATATCATGATAAAGTTGTTGAACTGATGTTTAACTTTTGCAAAAAAAGAAGCCGTAATAATTTTTAAAGAGAAAATTTAGCATTCTATTGAACTGTATCATTATTGTTTTACTCATATATTCATTTTTATAATGGATAAATATCACATCACAAAGCTAGGCACGAAGGACGTAAGATTACCAACTTTGATGAATCTCGACGGCAGCCATGCGATGGAAAGAAAAAAAATTAAAAGTTAATACACAGCTGTTTAATAACAGCAGTTAAAGGTGAAACTTCTGAGAATACCAAACGAGTTAACAATTTAATCAAAAATTAAACATTAAAAATCAAAAAAAGTTAATTAAAATTCCATAGAAAGGAAATTCAATCAAGAAAAAGGACTCTGAATTTCACTTCTGGTGCAATTCATATATAAAGGGTTCTAGATATTCAAACCACAATGTAACCCCACCATCTGACCAACATTTAACAACCAACCAACAGAGAATTAAGTGTTTATAGCACTGCGTGTATTAAGTTCACAATAAAGGCACGCTTTTCTGTGGCATAGGTCGCACATTTTGGCACCGCGGCGTTCGCATCACACTCACTGCGCTCGTGCGCCAACCTCACTCCGCGGTACCAGAAAGTGCGACTTATAACTCAGAAAAGGGAGCATAAATGTGAACTTAGCACAGTGCTATAATAGTAATTTATTTTTGGCACGGCGTAGTTTAGGGCCCGAGCACAGCGAGGGTCCTAATAGCTGGGCCGAAAAGTGTTACTTATGGCACTTGTATCGTAAAGTACTATTCTTTCAAGATTAATCATGCGCCCCTACTTGTAAACTGTGTCTAATCGCAATGAACGAACAATTTCAGTTGAATGACAGACGAATAAACAAAATTGAATATTATTGAAACAAAGTATGTACGCTTAATTAAAATTCAAGTTTTATTTTATAAACGTGTAATATTCTACTAGCGCTTTACATCGCTTGCTTACGCTCGCTCGAGTTTCAGATAATTTTTCAGAACGAAAAAAAAATACCGTAATAGCCAAACATTCCCGTCGTAACTGAGGAACTCCTATACTAAAAGCTTTGGATTCTCGGTTACAGTGGCCATGTTTATCGCCCGCCATAAGCTTACATTACTTCCCAATACGAACAATAAAAAATCTAAAAAACGTGCCTTTTTTGTTGATAAACAAGTTTGAATGTGTATTTGAATTTTCCTAGGTAAAAATGGATAATTTCGGAAAATTGAACCTCACCATTAGAAAGCTCAGCAAATTTCGGATTGAAACCTCTATTTGGTTATTTTTTCCATGATTATTTAGGTACTTTTACAGTTACAGCGAGTTAGAAATTGAGCAATATTGCTCAAAAACGCTGTTCGCTGTTTCGTGAGGCGCTAAGAGTTTTGAGAAATTTCGCCTCCGTAGGGTGTTGAAAATTCGATGCAATGGTCGAGCTTGATCACGAGAGTTTGAATTGCTTCCATTATACCCTTCGTGACGATGAAACTTTTTATTTCGTTTCTCGGAACTGCAGTATAATTGTCAAATAGGTGGTTGTCGAGCTTACGATCTGCGCACATACACAACAATTTTCATTCATAGTAATTCGACGTCCGATTCAATTATGTTTGGCTTTACACGATGATTATTTACGTATATAGTTACGTATATTATACGTACCGAAAGCAAGAAAGACTGGTCTAGCTTAAACAGTCCGAAAACGCTGAATTGAATGTTTTTGCTTTGCAAGTACTTATGGAACTGATCGAGCTGTAAGTGAAAACTTTAATAGATACGATGCAGTACGACTGACTTGCCTCGAGCAATTCAAACCTGTTTCTCCATGGCCGTGTTATCGACAATGGCTGACCACTTGATGATGATTTCTGCTGTTCGTTCTTTCTGCAAACACATAATTAGTTGAATATTTTCTGATATAAAGAAAAAATTTTTTCTTAAGTACTAGAACTGTACCTGCTTTCCGATTCTAGCCGTCGAATTCGTTAAAACTACGAGCAAGTATCCAGTAACCAAAAACCAGAACCACGTCCTGCAGTAGGAAAACAGCGATGTATAGCCATTAATTTCCACTTGATTTATCACTTTCCTAGCTGGATAATATATAGAAAAGATGATCCTGAAAAATGAGAACGACACGACCATCAACATGGGCAGGCTGAAAAAATCCGAAATATCCTGCGACAGATCGCAAAGAGAATAATACTGAGAACGATGGTAGGAAAGTTGAGAGTCTTGGCTTTTGTACAGTTCAAAGGTGTGGAAGTTACTCGACGATTTGAACATCGTGTCGATACTCTTGTGCGAAAATTTCCTCGATATACCTTCCAAGTGGCGATTGATCATCGTAAACATTTCGATGAGACAGATCAGCACGAGGCAGTATTGCAGAATTACGGTCATCAATATGAAATCTTGGGTCAAACCAACCACAACGTTGTGATCAAGGCGGCCATTGGCGTTGATCATGGGTTGCACGGAGATAATGAAAATGGCACACAGTACCAGGTACGTCCGAAATGTCATTCTTGTTTGCTTCACGATCGCCCTCAAAAGTTCATCTGAATTTCCCGCCAAAGACTGACCCAAGGCGTAGAACCTGTCGGCCAAACGAACGATTTTTCTCTGCCTGGTACAGTAGAGAACGTACAGAGCGATGCACACGGAGAAGGCGAAAACCATGTAGAAGACCTCGCAGATTTTTTCGAACATCAATCTACCCTCGTAATCCATCAGCCACATGACTCTGCTGTAGTACGAGCCGAATAGCAAAAAACCCAAAATCAGCGTGACACTGTAGGCGAAATCTTTCCTCGAAGTTTTGAAGCGATAACGATTGATCTTGCTCCATTTTTCTACACTCATAGTCGATAGACCAAAAATTTTGAAAAAGTAATGCAAACGAATCAGGAACACCGACATGGTGTGACGCCATAGTACAAGTGAGTCAGCTCTGTAACGCAATCACGAACGACGATCTAGAGCAGCCGCGATGCAATCGACTTTTTTTCAATTCCATTAAGCCTTTTAGCGATCTAGTATTCATTGATCGCGATAAAAAGGCTCAAAACTAGCAATTGCATAAAATTAAGGGATGAAAGTGGGCTCAATTGTTTTTAATTTTTTATTTACAGTATTAGCGTGTAAGAGTGAAAACAATTCTTTTTTGAAGAACATATAACAATCTTTTATACCACATTTGAAAGTATACTGTCCAGTTAGATACTTTTAACATTTAACACTAATATGATTAAATTTTATATTAATTTGTTAATTTTTGATGGCATTTGAATGCTAATTGCTACTCACATGTCTGTTTGACACAAATGTGTAAGTATCTTGAGGATAAGTGTAAGGATTAAATTCTTACTTGAGTTTGTAGTTAAATTGTATCTGATTCTTTCTCAAAAGTCTCATTATAGAGAGCAGAGAGTTAGTTTATTGAACATATTGCATCACATCAAAATGCATTTTAATAATTCAAAAAAGCAAGAAGTAAACATGCTTAATGAACTTTTTGAATTCGCTCTCAAATTATGTAACCAATCGAAAAGTATTTATGAAAAATTTAATCAATTATTTTTTAAAATTCAATTAAAACGAATGAGTAAATATGAAATATTAACTTAGCTGTCTATAGATAGTCATCTGAAAAAGAACTTTTTTAAATTTCATTAATTGAAAACATCAATATATGAAAGAAGAAAAATCGTGAAAAATTTAAAAGAATAGCTTGTAAAATAAGGTCTAGAAAGAAATGTTTTCTGGCATTATCTTTAAAGTGACAATATTTATAAAAAGATTTGTAGAAAAATAATTTTACATCAAAAACAAAAAATTCAGCGAGTCAAAACTTTCTTGCTACTGCGTTTGAAGAAGGTACACTGATAGAAATTTACGAACTCCGTCATGAAATCCGCTGTGGTTTATAGGATTTCATGACCCAAGACGACATTTTACCTGCGACAAGAATTCTTGATTTTCTTGCCACATGACGAAAAATTACTTGCCCCAGGTAAAATGTCGTCTTGGTTCATGAAATCCTATAATTCTTGAGCCAACCACAGCGGATTTCATGACGGAGTTCGTAAATTTCTATCAGTGTACTGTTTTGGTGCCGCGCTTGAATTCGTTACCTTTTTGCCTCTGCGCGCGAGTAAGTATCCTTTATGCTGCAGAATTGGAAGCGATACCTTCCTGGGTTGGGGCGACGATATCAATTTTATTGCATGTAAAATGTATCGCACTTTTATTTCATACATCGTCAGCGAAGCTCTGTAAAAGAATACAAGATTAAAGGAATGAAAATTTACAATGACATTATAAACAAAAATAAGCCCCGGAAGAATAGAGTACAATTTACAGTACAGGTTGGTCTGAAGTAGGTGTTTAGTAAACCCGGCCGTTTTGGCAACAATTTTTTGTATCGCCTGAGCTCATGACTAAGATGAAAGTTCACGTTTTTATGTGAAAAAAGCCGTACTCAAGAAGTCCAAAAAGTGACGGAAACCGGTGTTGATAGGTTCTTGAAGTTTAAAAACGTGATTCTAAAATTTAGCAAAATTAAAATGTCAATCATGTTATAAATTGCTAACTTTGCTCTGAGGGTAAAATCCATATTGACAATACATTTTCTTACGTAATTTTGTGTGTAGAATCGAATTTAGTAGTCCATTTGACCTAGGGGTACGATTTCATAAAAAAAATGCACTTATTTGATATTTTTTTTCCGTAAATTTTCCGTCAAGTTCATTTTCGAGTGCGCGACAAATGGACAGAAAAAATCTAGAAAATTTTTTGACACTGGCAAAATTCAGAATTTTTTATAAGAAATTCAACGGTATATATTATTATATGGTTTAAAATTACTTTCACTCAAAAATAAACGACTATCCAATCAAACGACATTACAAAAAATTGAAAAATCAAAAATCATACTCGTTTCTTCAAGAAAATGGCTAAGTATAATCACTCATGAAAAAAATTACATTCAATTATCTAATAGGTTTTCCAAAGCCGTTTTTTGATTTGGAGAATTCGAAAATTTCCCTGAGATACAGCGGTTTTTGTATGATGTGTTTTTTAGCTTAAAATTCAATAATTCTGAGCCAGCTCCAATTATCGAAAATATATACCGTTGCATTCGTCACAAAAAATCCTAAATTTTAGCCGTGTCAAAAAATTGTCTTGATTTTTTCTGTTCATTGTTAAACGCTTACAAGACGATTTTTTGATTTTTACGCAGAAAAAAATATAGAAAAAGTGCATTTTTTCCAATGAAATCGTACTCCTACGTCACACTGACTATGAAATTCGATTCTACACACAAAATTAAGTAAGAAAATGTATTGTCAATATGGATTTTACCGTCAGAGCAAAGTTAGCAATCTATAACATGATTAACATTTTGAGAGTGATTTTGCTAAATTTTAGAATCACGTTTTTAAACTTCAAGAAGCTGTCGACACCGGTTTCCTTCGCTTTTTGGACTCTTTGAGCAGGGTTTTTTCACCTAAAAATGTGAACTTTCAGCTCAGCCCTGAGCCCAGGCAATAAAAAAAATTATTGCAAAAACGTCCCAGTCTAGTGTATAGTATGTAAGAATGAGCAAATAAATCGACGAGTATATGTTTTTTTAATCAATTAATTCTTTGTGAAAAATTAAAAAAAAACCCACTTCATTCCTCGTGGGTGATGCAGATTTTGACTGCTCGATGAAAATTTTACTCCAGTCTATTCTCGAGAACTAGATCTTTTAACTTATCGGACATGTGGTAGGGTCTCGAGCTGCCGCCGTTCATTTCGTAATCTTCGAGCACGCATGTAAAGATTGTGTCAGTAGCTATCTTCAGTAAAAGAAGTATTGAATCGACCAGTAAGTAGATGCAAACCACAAAACAGCCCAATAGGCCTAATCGTTCTTCTAATTTGACCGATTGCGTATGCAGTAATCCCCAAAATAATAGAACAGACAAGGCTGTGATCGCCAATTCGATAAATGAGCACAATGTTGTCATGATCTTTGAATTTAAAAAATAATTACCAATTAATAATTGTGCCTAGGATTGATTTTTAAAAATTAGTATGGAAAGATAAATGTCTACCTGTGTGGTAACGGCATTTTTCGCGTAATTTCTTTTGAATAGAGTGAACGATACTCGGGCCGCTTCGATGAAGCCGGTGCCGTGAATACCGATGTGAACGTAAGCCATGCCGGTGACCTCCTCGATGACGGCCTTGAGGATGTACAAAGCGGTGTCGCAGCAATCCAAACCGCAGCTGCACAGATCAGAACCGAGAGTCCCGTCGACGCCGGATGTTTCAACATACCCAAGCAGGATCTGCAGTATGGTGCACACCGTTATGATCAGCGAGCCGAAAGCTGTCGGGCCAATGTGGTATCTATACAAATAAATACATTTCCAGACTTCGAATTCCATTTCTAGCGTGCGAGCTTCGTTGTGACGATATGATGATAATTATGGTGTACCTGAAGGCGATGTAGATGAAGCGCAATGTGGTGAATTTCGGCACTTCCTTCTTGTTCATGGTCCAATACCAGGTGCCGTAAGCACCGGACACGCTGACCTTGAAAAATCCGTACATGTGGCAGATGATCCAAACGAGAGCCACGGCATTGACGAGGTGACAGAGGACCAAGTGAGCTGGATAGTAGTCGTCGCTGCCGATCGATTCGATCCAGAAGTACAAGCAGAAGTTAACGATGAGAAAGCCCACGTTTACGACGCAGTAGGCTATCGCGTAAAAAAACATCAACGGAAAGGCCAGCATAGCTCTGAAAGAACAAAACGAAATTCAGAATCAATTCGTATTTTGAATTGATTGGGGTGACACTCGCTTGGATGCCTCTCGAATCATTTCGCAGATCATCGGGATGAATTTGTACTTGACGATGAACATCACGAAAAAGATGATCAGCACCAAAACTGACGAGGTGAACAAAATAATGCGGGCATATGACTGTTCGTCAGCCAGCAAAAAACCCGAGTTGATCACAATCGCAAAGAGGGCGATGAAAAACAAGGCGGTCATCGTGTAAACCACGGGCCTCGCGGCGACTCTCAATAGCAACAGACACAATATCGATAAAAAGGCAGCCAATGGAAGTACAATCGCTATGATCCATCTGAAATATTCGTGCCAATTTGTAAATAAATCTTTTGTACGCGTGTGTGAATTTGTGTTACCCTTCTTTGAAGATAAGATCTTCAGAGTCACGGTAGAAATCGCTATACTTTTGCGCGTCGCCAGTCACCAGCGCTGAACGAAAAATTACATATGTGTAGGTATGGATTAGAAATTTTTAAATGATCGTGCGCCAAAAAAGAGAAAAAAAGTTCATACCGTAAACAGCTACTCCAAACCATAGGCAGACAAACAAGTAATAAACAACTGTGAAGGATATGTTTTCTGCTTTCCGTTTTACGTTCAAAGGACCACTCCATGTTGGATCGTAAGTGATCTTCGTTCCTGGAAGTTTCGATGAGAGATCGTCAAGATTCGGTTTTCTGACGATTTTTGCAAAACTCACCTAAATTGCTAATCCTTCCTCCGCCAAACGAAAGCATATCATTTGAACCCTCCATCATCATACGCCCAGAAAATAAATATGTTTAAAATGAAAAAAAAAATATTATTAAAGATATTGCGATATGCGATCGTGTCATGACATTTTGCGTTTAACCAAACACAGCCGACCCTTAACCTGCTCCCCATACGTCATTTCTGATACACACGGACGCCAGAGAAAAGAAAATCGTTCTCTGCGGCTATTTGGAAAAAATAATCTTGGGACAACCGATAATCTCTAGCTCGAAAACATTTCATCTTCCATTATCATAAAAACCATTTTTCAAAGCCGTTCTATTACGAGCATTATATATGGCTTTTTGAATGGAAGAGATAATACATAATTCTATGTCTTCGGCGGCAGACCGGGGAGAGGGTTTAACTCGCAGCCAAGGGTTAGAAAAAATCATCAACTGGAAGAAGTCCTGATAAGAAAGAAAAAGTTAGCTTCATTGTGTTGGCTCATTCAGCTTTTATATACATCTATATTGGTGTACGTAAAAGAAGAAGTCGACTACGACGACGACGACGACGAAAATTCTAATCAAAATCTGCAATCAAAGGCGAATCTCATCTCTGCTTGCTTATCCTGGCCATGCGTGCTTCTCTCTCTCTCTCTCTCTCTCTCTCTCTCTCTCTCTTTCTCTTGTCGCCGTCGTCGTCGTTAACAACGAAGCACACTATCAGCCGTCTTGTCGGTCCATTAAGCTGCCGGTGTCGAGGGCCCTTTCACAGCCACTATATGTATAAGCGCGCGAGCGAAACCGCACGCACCCGCGCAGAGTCTATGAAAACCGCAGATTCGTTTCTCAAACGCTTGCGATGCGAGCGTCGCATACAAGAGGAGGCGTCTGGCTTCGACAAATACATGCTATCGGCAGCAAAGGCGACAAGAGGCCGATGACGACGATCAGGGAAATTGCACGAGTTGTACATGTACGTGCTGTCTGTGTGTGTGTGTGAACGGTATAATTGGTCCGATGCCGGAGTCAATGACCAGTATAAGGGATAGATATTTTCTTAGGCTCTCGCGTGCGCGATTGCGCTATTATACGAGTCCACGAGGCAACTGGATTTTCATCCTACTAGCAGTTACATCATCGTTGCTTCTAAGCGTTTGAAGGTATCGCTTTGCTCGTAGCTGGCCGAGAGTAAGTCTGCTGATTATTTCTCTGAATATGCGTTTGTTCTAAACAAGATTTTATTAGGACCACGCGTTTTATCTTAAGCGCAACACACATTAAGTATGGGTAGCTCGAGCAATGTAATTTAATTAATAGCGGCAAACGGATAGCGCATAGAATAATAATGCTGCGTTTTAGCCCCCTGTTCAGCTGGACTAATAATAACGCGTCGGTAAATCAAATACATTAATATCGCCGTAATAAATCGTCGCGTCGTTAAATACCCGCAAAACAAAGCTATCCCAGGTATAAACGTAAATAGGAAATAAATATCGAATCGAGCGGTCGCGATGATCTTTTCTTCAAACACTCGTTTCATAATGACGTTTTCGCAAGCACATACACACACGCGCGCGTCTTGCTGCATATCGACAACGCAAACAACACGCGTCGATCGACGAGAAATAGAGAGAGAACGAGAGCTTGCAGCTTTGCCATTCGCCAAAAATTCGAGCAATTCGGCTTGACAAAGTATTCAAGCATAAATAGCCAAGGTGGTGGCCATGGATCGCCTCGCGCTCTCTCGCGTCACGCCCGATATTAAACGCATAAATTGCTCATCCCACGTGGCGGCGGCGGCGGACCCATCCCTCTCGTTGGCTATATACATATCGGGGGGAGAGGTGCAGAGAGGGAGCCGTGCGACGTCGCATTAGCTGCGAAAGCGAGCTTTGTTGCCTCGGCCGAGAGAGCGTGTATACGTATATAATACGAAAGCTTGCAGCGAGCAATGCTTGGCGCGCGCAAAGAGACCAAGTTTACGCAGTCAGCCATAAATTTGTGACTCTCTCTCTCGCTCGCTTTACGAATTGTACCCCTCTCGCCTCATATACGCATGGGCACTTTATACGGCCTGCTATATGGCAGCCGCTACACCGGCCTATCTCAACTTATTCGATGCGGACTCGCCGAATAATTGTATATAATGCGCGGGCCATAAAGGGTTGCGGTCGCTTTTATGCCCCCGAGTGAGCTTCGACAATGATGCTTTTTTGCGCTCGGGACTAACTATTTGTCGGATTAGAATCAATGAATCAACGCTCTATATCGCGCGTCGTGAAAATGATAAATTTTCTAAGCACCGAGTCACCCTCTCTAAATGCGCCCTAAATTATTATTTAACAGTCCAGGTGTACGCAGCCATATATCTTACGAGTATTGACATCGGCAACGTAACTGTCGCGATCGTATTGACCAATGCGAGTTGCCGATAACTTTTTTAATTCGTCAGTTGTTTCTGAGATGACGCCAAAAAAGCCTCGGATACACACGGGCTGTAAAATGTGCATCTAAGCACGCGAGCCACGTGCGTGCCTCGACACAATGCACCGATATACCAGTCCCTCTTGAGCATATACGTGTTATATATTGAACGATACAGTATGAATGGTGTCGAGTCGACGAACAGACGTAAGAGGCTCGAGTCAGGCGCAGCCGGCGCCTTGCGCTGAGCCACACGGCACGTTTGAGCGCATGAAAGGCTTTATGAGCAAAGGCGTATATCATAGATACATACTTTGAGCTAAACTGATGAGTCCACTCGTCGCCCTCGTGCTTTTGAAGCTCGAATTTTAAGAATAATCCATGACAAATATTTTGATAAATTTATGTAATAATGTAATTGGTAACTTCTTTTATGGTACTCTAACTGAAGGAATTTATGCAATTTTTCCTTAAAAATAAAATGCAGATGGTTTTTAGGCAATACTTGTTTCTACTGAGGAAAGTAGAATAAATATTTATGAATATTTAAAATATTTAGTGATAAGAAAAATTACTGTATTCTTTGATAATTTGGGGAGCTGTATGACAAAGCCAACTAGCTTTCTACTTCTATTTCTTGGCAGAGCAATTGATCCCTCTGGAAATACAGTGAAAAACTTTATAAAAAAAGATTCAAAAATTTTTAAATGATTTGTTTTAAAATTACTCACTAATTTCAATAGTTTTACATAATAATTCTTCCATGTTTCAAATATTGGAATAGCCAGTAGCCAGGAGAATGTTTATAGATATGGAGGCATCTCCAATTTCATTATTTATCATTTATAAAGACATTACTGAATAAATAATATGAGTATTATGCAAATCAAAATTTCAAGAGTATTCTTAGCAATATGAGAATTTAAAAAGGTGTAAAGAACACTGCTATCTATCATCGACAAAGAAAATTATGTATCAGGTAAACAAGACTTGATCAAGATTCGAATAGATCTAATACATACAGCATGTAAATAATTCATCTACGTTCCAATCATCTTTATAGCCATTAGTATAGGAAGATACATTTTAGTTGTAGAAGCATCTTAAATAGAGCTTCATTAAATAATCAACTGAACCCAATTGTAAATTCATTTTGAGGAGTAAAAAGTTCATTTTGACGCATCAACTGACATATTTTACTTAACTAATTATTAAATTGGCACAGTCTAACAGTAGCTTAAAATCAATTTCACCATAATTTTATATAATAAAAAAATAAAAGTCAACTTATTTTAATATTTTTAGCAGGGATGATGAAAATAGATTAAACAATATTTTCTTTCATTTAAAATAAATGAAAATTTATGAACTATACAGTACAATGATTGCTGCTAAAGAGAATTATGATATAGATTGATATGATGTTCGGTGTTTTTTATTTAAATTCGATGCTAAGAAGATTCGTCAGCTGAAGATAAATGAACTAAATTTTAAGTTTGAAAGTACAATAAGAGCAAAAAGATCAAATGCAATTTCTGAATAAGCTTAACAAATTTATTGTTAATTAACCTACACTTTCACAACAGTTAACATAAAATGTAAATATTTGATTTATATTATTTTAAAGTATGCCAAATCATCAAAATAAAATATTTTTATTTTATTATTTAGATATCTAGAATTTGCAAGGCGTTTGAAATTTATTTAGTTACATCAACTGACCATCCTTAAAAAAATTAGCAACTAAAATACCTTCTGACTATAAAAAAAAGATATAAATTGTATACTTTTAGATATACTTATGAAGGAGATTATTTAGCTTTAAAAGGTACAATATAATTTTTCATCTTTTTACATTTAAGTAGCTAATTTTTTCATTTTCAATCTACGCTTTTGTTCACAGTAATTATATGTATAATTTTATGAGCGAACAATTTTTTAGTAAATGAACCTCTGAGATTATGATTCAAAGTCTGAGATATGAGATTCAAAGTCAATTTCGAACGACACGTACGATGACCAGAATTGTGTACATAAAATAGCTGCTATGCTATGATACATACAGTCAGCTAAGTCACGTAACAATCTCAAATTGAAAGTCGAGTGTAATAGAGGCAGCGGCTATGCTTAGCCGTGTTACTATTGTTATTGTTGCCGCGCACGTTATATGCGCAGAAGGCCCCTACTATTTTCAGGTTACGCTTTCTATACCATTGCTTTCACGGTGCACCACGTGCTCGCTCGCCTTCTTCATAAATCGTAGCCCACGAGTTTGTACAGTTCACGTTACGACGCCGTACCTTGAACATCAAATATCGCCTCCACCACAGTAAGTAGTTTTTGTGAAAAAAATATCTTTAATTTTTAGTGATTGTGATTTTGCGACCTTACCACTTGGCCAACAATTTTCAACTTTCCACAAGTGCCTTATTATTTTCACATAAAGATGGATCAAAATCGTGAAGATATGATTGCAAGATTCATAGAAGCCACGGGAGTCGATAAAAAACAAGCCGAACTTAGCCTCGAGTCTTCTGCCTGGTCAATTGGTAGTGCTCTTGCAAATTTTTTTGAAGAGAACAGCAATTCGGATTTTGATATGGAAGAAGAAGATAATCAGGTAAAAAAATCCAAGTCTAAGCCAAAGAAAAAGGCAAATTTTGCTACAATAAGGGATTTTCAAGATACTGATAGCAGTTCAGATGAAGAAGGACAAGCATTTTTTACTGGTGGTGGTGGCTCGACTGGTCAGCAAATTTTAGGACCAGATGAAATGAAACACATGTGCCCATGTTGTAACTCTGCAGAATTAAACAAACCCAGTGACAAGCCTGAAACATTTGGGGGCTTAGGTTATAAATTAGGCATGACAAACGAAGATACAGAAGTTGTTGGAACACCATCACCTGGTACATCAAAAGCATCCAGTGCCAGGCCTACGGAGTTCAGAGGTATAGGCTATAAATTAGGCATGACAAACGAAGATACAGAAGTTGTTGGAACACCATCATCTGGTACACTAAAAGCATCCAGTGCCAGGCCTACGGAGTTCAGAGGTATAGGCTATAAATTGGGCATGACGAGCGATGACACAGAAGTTGTTGGATCACCAGCACCTGGTAAGGCAAGCAGACCCAGTGCCAGGTCTAAAATGTTTAGGGGCTTAGGCTATAAATTAGGCTTAACCAACGATGATACAAAAGTTGTTGGAACACCATCACCTAGTGCATCAAATAGATCTTTCGTCAGGCCTACAGAGTTCAGAGGTTTAGGTTATAAATTGGGTTTGACAAGCGAAGATACAGAAGTTGTTGGAACACCATTATCTGTTAATCAAGCTTCATCTTCTGATATCGTATCTCTGAAGCTCTGGAAAAATGGATTTACTGTAAATAACAAAGAACTCAGAAGATATGAAGATCCAGACAGTAAAAAATTACTCGATACAATAAAAGGAGGCGCAATTCCAGAAGAAATACGTTCTGAGGTAGCTGGGAATGTGTTAACTGTAGAAGTGGAAAATCGTTGGCTTGAGGATTATACTCCACAAAAAGATGAAGATGAAGTATTTGCTGGTAAGGGCCATATGCTTGAAAGTTCATCTTCACCCACTGTTGAAATGGCATTACCTGTAGATGTAACCAGTCAAGCTGCTAATGAGGCAATAGCAAAAACTCCACTTAATCTTGATACAAATCTACCAGTTACATCATTACAAATTAGATTAGCTGATGGAAGTAATTTGAGAGCTCAATTTAATTTGACACACACAATTGCAGATGTAAGAAACTACATCATAAATATGAAGCCTCAATATGCACTTAGAACATTTATTTTGAACACAGTGTTTCCAGCAAAAGAACTTTCGGAGGAAGATAAAACTATTGAAGATGCAAATCTTCAAAATTCTACAATAATGCTAAGGCTGAAATAAGTTAGCCATTATTTTGTTTTTTAACTGTTATATTAATTTTTAAATTTAAGTTTTTTCAATGTTAAACAAACTTTTTAGTGTCTATGAATGAACAATTAATAAAAAATTTTGAAATTTAATTAAGAACATTTTATAATTTTTTTTTCTAAGACCTTTTATTTTGAATATTTATATATTTTTCTTTAGTTGTATGTACAAATATAATTTTGAGTTCAAAGGAAAATGTCTATGCACAAAAACAAATCCAATATAAGCTTCGATAACAAACAAATTAAAAAGATCAATGAGCTTATTACTTGGCTACAATCGGTATGTACTTACAAGGAGACCACATGAGTCATTGTGCGTCACCAATTATCCTGAATATCAGTTTGAAATCTATACTTGTACATAATAATGAAGCCCATGTATGATCCAATTGGCTCTATTTAATGAGCCCTATAATTAAATTTAAGAAATAATATTTATTTTAATAAAAGTTATTTTAAAAAGCAGCATTTTCTGGACCTAATTGCTTTTATACCCAATAATGCTAGCTATATCTAACTACTGTGAGGCACTATATGTGACCACTTACAGATATGAAAATTTCTATTTATAAAAAAGTTTAAATGTGAGTTTAGAATCCACTTAATTACCATATTTTATAACCAATTCTCACATTTACTTTCTCCTTTTTAATATGTAACATTCAACTATGGAGAAATAAACTTTGAATTTTGCATTTACATCAAAGTGGATTATTTTCAGAGATAAAAAATATACTGTATAAACTCACAGATTGTGTTCACGTATCACCCTTACTTTCATATGGAAAAGAAATAGAAAAAAACTAAAAATATTCAAAAAAGAATGTTGTCAAGTATATTCTTAATTATTCAGTAAAAAGTGTCAAATTCAATACTAATTACTCATGCTAAATTTAACTTAAACATTTATACTAATTTAACGATCGAGACAGTTCACGAAAGAGTCATAAAACTTTTAAATACTGTGTAAAATCATGATTGACAATCAATAAGTCGCTAGAAAAATTTGCTACGGTAAAAAAAATGTTAATATTGAAATTAACGTTCTTGGTGTATACGTTGAACGTACGTAAAATAATATTATATCTGACACAATAAATTTTCTAAAAATGTTGCATAAATTGATTTTAATTTTCCTTTTTGGATTGTATCTAGTATCAGTGATTAATAGCAGTGAGTGTATATAGGGCACCTTACACGTCCAAACTAAAAAAAAATGTTTCATTTCTAGTCCCTAACTTTCTTAATATTTAACGGATTCCTACGATTTTGATTTTTATAATCGTTTCCAATGTGCTTTTCGTGTTTATTTTAGGAGTCTGGCTATTCAGAGGAAAATTTGTACACGAAAATGGTTATTTTCGTATGCGAAATTCCAAATAACTCTAGAAAGAATGCATTTCGCACACGAAACTCAAAATCACTAGGAATTCGTTTTTCCCCTGTATATAGACACTACGTTATATGAGTCATTTTTAGCAGTCGAAACTAAGTCTTAACAATTTTGAAAATAAAAAATCTTAAGCAGTATAAGACCAACTGAGTATATGTAAAAAGTTTCATTAAGATATATCTTTCAATTTTATTAAAAATAATCATTTGAAAATTATTTTCTTTTAATGTGAACGTGTAACGTCCCTTTAAGTTTTAAGCATTGGAATTTCTTCACATACCTCTGTCAAAGAATCTGAGTTTTATATATATTTTTTTGTATATATCAGAAAAGTTGAGAATAATTGAAGGAGAATTTGCACTTCCCGGACAATTCCCTCATCAAGTCTCGATACAAGAATTATCTGGCGATAATTGCACGAGACATGTTTGCGGTGGTAGTATCATTGATGAATGGCACATTTTAACAGCTGCCCATTGCGTTACTAGCAACTTGTTTCGCCAATTTAATAATATACCGATTACAATAGTTGCTGGAACTATAGATTTACTAAATCGAACATCGGCAGTATATCATGATGTCGAGTTGATTTTTATGCCACATTCTTATACACTCAATGGTGACGAAGAATATAAAGATGATATAGCCATATTGAAGGTAAGTTAGTTAATAATAAGACTATATTCACGAACAAGTTATGCTTATTAAATGGATTCAAAGTATAGTTGAGAGACCCATTATCACTCGATTCTCATCCATACTTGCGGGCTGTAAAGTTACCGGCTTCCGATCAATACCTGCCACCCGATAATCTAAATGCCGTCATGTCTGGATTTGGAGTTTTCAAAGAGTTTCTGAAAAATGGCACATGGAAATTAAGCTATATGAGTAGATATTTACGATATGCTTACGGAGTTATCAATGTTCCTGAACCTAAAGGATGTCTCGATTCACAAATTTGTGTAAAATCGTTTAATGCATATATAGGTCGTTTGGAAGGAGTATGCCACGTAAGTAACACTTAATTAATTTTAGTTTCTCGATGTTTCTCGTATTTCTCATTTCAGGGGGACAGTGGAGGTCCTCTTTACGACGAGGCCACCAACACACTGATTGGTATTACTAGTCACAAAGTTTATGAACGGTGTGGAACGGTTGCCAGATTTACCAGAGTTTCATCTTTTTTGGATTTTATCAACAAAGTAGTTGTTAATCGCATAGATCCCACGAATATTCTGTTTACAAAACAGTCGCATAATAATGCAATCGAGTTTCCACACCGCACGGTTTGTAATGTACGCTGAAAACATGAATTTAAAAAAAGTATTCACTGTGAAGTAAAAAGTTCTAGATAAACATTTATAATTAAAAAGAAATAGCTCCGTCTTAATTAGATCACTTTCAAGTTTCCCTTTTGAAAATCTGGAGAATCAAATGAATATAAAAATTATATAAACTCAGTACCATATCATCAAATATTATAACCCTCATTCTCTATCATATTTTCATATTCATTCTATCGTATCGTATACATTAAGGGAACAGATAAATTCGTCCAGACGTAAAGTACTGCAGGTGTTAAAATTTGTCACGCGTATCTAAGAGATGATTGCCGCTCTGATGCAAATTAATGCTGCAACTGCGCGTTCAAATCGTTGAAGATGGAAATGACAAGCCCCAAGCATCAATGTGGCTATAGCAGCACTTATATATTTACTTAAATACATTAATTGCAATTTCATAATTTTGGAAATAACGATAGGATACATTTAGAACGATCGATTCAAGATTCATATAAATTTAGATATTAGTAAAATTGAAAATCGAGCGAACTATCCGATAAGAGATCTCCGGTATTAAAAATTGCTTACCGCAACGATTTGGACTTATGGATTTTTCTCAGTATTCAGAGGAAGTTCACATTGAATATTACACGATACATAACGCGATTAATTATTGAAATCGTCGGCATTAACCATGAAGCGATTTTAATAAACTAGAGCCTCGGAAAACTCGAATTAACTGTGCGGCAGTGCGTCGGGGGTTCGCGTTCGCTCGCTGCACATGAAGCTCGCGAGTCTGTCTTCTGCATAATTGCAATCATAAGCTTTAATTAAAATGTCATGCCAAAAATAGCGATCACTTTGACTCGGTACACACGAGGTGGCGGCGCGTACAGCATAATATACGGGAATGCACTTTCATTAAACATCCATAAATATACACACACACGAGCAGGAGGTAAGTTGCGCTCGATTCTGGCCGCGCGTTATAATGTAAATCTCTGAAATTCGTAAATATCGCAGATTTGTATCCCTTGCATTGTCGCGCCGTATGCATAGATATACAAATAACATTGGCAAACGTGTATGTGTGTGTGTGTGTGTGTTTGTGTATATGTGTACGTACATATTATAAGCGTGGTACGTGTTGGTGCTATATGTTATACACACGGATGCTGCGGGGGAGGCCTGCGATATAGCTTATGAGGCGCGCAGGGACTAATGCGCTGCGCATATACATATAGGTGCACGCACAAAGCTATCTAATCGGGAACTTGATCAAAGTACGGCGCTGATTAGCATTATCCGGAATAGGCAAAACGTGTTACGCACGTGCGCCAACTGTACCGTCTCTTCTCCGTAATTTACGCAAACTCCCGTCGCGCACTTACACATACAGCGACGCTTGCAAGAGATTCCGATGCAATTACATACACTCTGTACTGCTGTGTGCTGCACATTATTGTGCAAAATTGTATGTATACAACTTTGTGATGTTGCAGCTCTTCGTTAGGCATTTGGGTACTGCTCTACGCACTCGATAAGTAGTCGTGTTAATTTGATAATTAATGCGACATTGTAAAGTTGCTTGTCGCGTGTGATAATTTTACAGAATAATTGATCTTTTTTAATTAGTCGTTGAGCTCCCTGATGGACATACTCATTATTTGATAGCTAATTTTATGGTATTGATTTTCAAAAACTCGGAACTTTCCAAACTTGGAAAGTACTGCTATAGACCTCGAGTCGAAACGAGTTTTTGAAAATCAATACCATAAAATTAGCTATCAAATAATGAGTATGTCCATCAGCGAGCTCAACGACTAATTTATATAAAACCTGACTTTGACTTATACAATTATTATTACTTTGCCACTTGCAGATTCATGCATGCGATCACTTGCCATCTAGTGGCTTAAAGCAGTATTATCGTATTTAAAATGAATTTGAATGGTCATTTTGTGTTTATTGAGCCATTACCAATATTTAAATCAAACTCGTGCATCGAAACACTCGATTCAAAAATTTGGGTATGAGATCGGTTGAATTTTCACTTGTCAGTATCTCTCGAATGAGCCGCACCACGATCGTCTGAACGTAAGCAATGTGTATGATTGACGAGAGCAGTCGTAACATCGAGACGTTGCGGTCGTCGGTGCGTGATGTGGCCAATATCTCACGTATTCGACTAAACATATACGAAACTGCGCGCGGCTAAACTGACGCATTACTCTCGAGCCATCTTATGTGGGGAGATAACGCGTTATAACAGAATATACACGGGACGGAGTCGAGCTACGTAGGCTTCAGATCATTACATCCGTCGGTCATTTAAGGTGCGGAAGCACGATCAAATCCCTCCGGTGCGCGCAGTAGCTCCTGCGGCGGCTGCACAGTACGCCGGTCCCACATTATTGGAGCATATGTACTTACTTGGCACTTGGCGAGTTTATATCTATGCTGTGGGATATTTGCTATTATACGAATTTGTCAACGGCGTCATTTTCGCACCCGTATACCGATCATTTTTCATTTTGCAGAGGGAAACGAGAGACCGAGTGATTTATAAAAAAAATCAACGATTTGCGATGATATACTGGTAAATAAAATCAGTAAGAGAATTTTTATATCTTGATAAAACTCTGGTAAATATGCTCAACAGCTTTTGGCAAACGATTAAGTTTCATTGACACAAAAGGGACATTTGACAAATTGTAACATTTTTTTAAATCTTTTATGATCATTGAATGTTTTGCTAAATGACATTTTTTGATTACATAAAATTTAATCAAATTATCATTTAAACACCAGAGGCAAGTTATGGAGCACGCCAATTACGCCATGGCGTGGGGGTGTCGAATTTTGGAATGAATATTAAAATTTTTTATAGTATTATTCGATATGCTCATCAGAAAAAAATTACTCGAAGTTACAGGGAGTTTTTTAAAAGTACTTTTGTTAGTTTTAAAAGGCCAAAATATTCTCAGTAGAAGTTGGTAACTTAATTATAAACAGTACAATTATAAACATCGTCCCTCGAACGCTGATCATGTTTGTAGCAAACAGATTAGTTTGAATGTTGTCTTAACCGATGAAACAAGCGATAATACCAAAAGATCGATTTTACTCATTCAATTTCTGAGATACAAAAAAAAGGATCCATCGCTTGATCTAGGTACCCAAATGGATAAAAGTGAGAAGAAATCAGAGGCAGTTGCCTCAAAAGATAATTTAGACGAACATGGTATTATTGTTTCAGACGACAAAAAATACATTTGTGATATTTGTCAGGAAATATTTACAATAAAATCAAGCATGATATTTCACCGATACACAGTTCACAGTGAACAAGAAAAATACGCATGTGACAGGTGCGAGAAGAAATTTGTGATGAAATCGTGTTTGATTATGCACCAAAAATTAGTACACAGAGGTCGCGAGGATTTTACGAGCAACACATGTGATAAAAAAGGTGAAAATGAATCAATTTTACTTAAAAACAAGGAAGTATTCCATGAAAAAAAAACAGTACCCGGAGGTCGTAGAGATTATGCGTGTAACAATTGCAATAAGATATTTGGATACAAAACGCATTTGCTCAACCATCAAAAAACAGTTCACGAAGGTCGGAAAGATTATGCATGCAACAAATGCGAAAAGAAATTCGGACGTAAACATCATTTGCTCGTACACCAAAGGACAGTCCATGATGATCGTAAAGATTATGCATGCGACAAGTGTGAGCAGAAATTTGGACAAAAATCGAGTCTGCTTATTCACCAAAGGACAGTCCACGAAGGTCGCAGAAATTTTGCATGCAACAATTGCGAGCAGAAATTTGGACAAAAAACGCATTTGCTCAAACACCAGAAAGTAGTTCATGAAGGTCGCAAAGATTTCGCATGCGACAAGTGTGAGCAGAAATTTGGACAAAAATCGAGTCTGCTTGTTCACCAAAGGACAGTCCACGAAGGTCGCAGAGATTTCGCATGTAACAATTGCGAGCAGAAATTTGGACACAAATCGAGTCTGCTTGTTCACCAAAGGACAGTCCACGAAGGTCGCAAAGATTTCGCATGCGACAAGTGTGAGCAGAAATTTGGACACAAATCGATTCTGCTTGTTCACCAAAGGACAGTCCACGAAGGTCGCAGAGATTTCGCATGCGACAAGTGTGAGCAGAAATTTGGACAAAAACCGCATTTGCTTGTGCACCAAAAGACAGTTCATGAAGGTCGCAGAGATTACTAATGCGACAAGGGCTAGAAGAAATTTGGGGAACGAGTCAATTTGATGAAGAATCAAAAAACAGTATACTAAGGTTCCAAAGATTACGAATTTCACAATTGACGGCTAAAAAATGATGATTTATATTTGTAAATATTTGTAAAGATAGCTTATACAATTGTATTCTAAAATTTCAATATATCTTGTTATAACTCTAATGATTGTTTAATATATGTATCGATAATTTATACAGATGTATTCAAAAATTCTGCCGAAACGATAATGTTGTATTTGATCCTCGCGTGCTATCAACTATCATTGATACTTTCGTTCGCTGTCACGGTGGTGTTTTATTTTTGGCTACTTGCAGCTCTTGATGCAACGATCAGCCGAACGTTTTTATCACGTTTTTTCTTTGGAGCTGTGAATGGAGCGAGTTTTTAGTCATTCACTAGATTTTTGATGAACCTCAATATAAAGTAATGATAAGTGTCCCTGAATTGAGCTTGCGCTAGTGAAAAATTTTGATAAACTTAGTGACAGACTGATTATTTCTGCTACTAAATTCTGATCGATAATAACTATTCGTTCAAGTTGAAAAACACCGACTTAAAAACCATTTAATTATTTAATCCAATCAAAAAATGCTTTCTAGATTTCTTCAAATTTAGTAAAAGCTCTCATAATTGTTTTTTCCTTTTCTTAGTATTTTTATCAATCCAATGCTCTTCGAATTGAGTGAGCAGCAAATGAAACTTTGCATTGGGGAAGTTCTTTTTCTTATCC